TGCTGGCCCTGTCCGTCCAGGGCGCCCTGTTTGGACAGGGCCAATAAGATTTATTGCTTTAATATTTACTTAGAACTAATGGCACTACCTCCCATCAAGACCCCTTTATCTTTTATTTAAAGATAGGTATTAAATTCAGCAAGTGTACGCTACTTTTCCTCATTTTGGGTACTTAAAAAGGGACAGAATGTCTACCACTTAAATTAATTAATGCCCTTTGGACTAATGATATTCTCAGAATCATTTGAAAATAAGTGGATGGTGCAAAGTGATTGTACTCCATAAAGAAAAAGGAATATATACACACACACTATTCCCCATTTTTCTTTGGATAAAGATGTATGTACACACAAGGGGTTACCAAATGGTTTACACCCCCTCACAAACATGCGGGTCCCATCTGTTATTAAATAATTCGAGTTGTGATCCCCACTTTATGTTGTGAGTAGTGTGTAAAAGATTCTGTAAAAGATTGTGTACATGTAGCATGATCCTTCTTCTTTTGGGCTCCTACCTTTTGTTCCTATATCTATTTTAATGGAAATTTTCTCCTTTGTTTATCTTCACGGGAGAGAAAGTGGAGCCATTGCCTTTTGGGAACTTGCTATCTCCCTAGTACATTTTGGACACCTCGACATATTACCTTTTATTAACAAATAGAAAGATCGTAAAATAGAATGTGTCGATGTGTCAAAAATTATGTTGGTTTCTATCTGTTCTTTATAAAATGTGATATGTAAAGGCATAAAATATGTATCTAGGGATAGCATATCTCAGCTTGCCTGGGGTGGGTGAGGTGGGGGAACCATTCAGCTTGAACTAGACTATATATATAACTGGATAGTTGTGTCCAAATAAAAGACACTGAAGATGAAGAGAAAAACAGATTATCCCAGTAACACAAAGTTGTGCATATATGTACCCTCTTTTGGTTGTGATTGAGTAGGTATAAACTACCATAAAGGGCAAGTCATAAAGGCAAAGGGAAGGTCATGCCTTTCTTCCAGGTTTTGTTATGTTTATCTATTCTTCCCTTGGGAAAATGGGCTATTTAGATTAAGTTCTTATTTTTAATTTATCCACCAATGTTGTTGTTAATCGTTTTTGAATGAATTGTTTCTTAATATTTGCTTTAATGGTTTGATTTACCTTGTTGCTTTGTTGTTTGTATATGTATGGGTTTGAGTTGAACTAATACTTACTCGGTTTTCTTCGGGTAAAATGGAAAGAGAAAACAAGAAATCCATGCACCATTCTCGTTCAAGAGTTCCTAAAACATTTGGGAATGTATGTACTCACTATAAAAAAAATATTCTAGCTTTTTATCTAATATTGTCTAATGGTATCCACTCGACCTTACCAAACATGTCACTAGTATATAGCATTCCTTTTCTGCGATTTTACTCTGGTAAAAATGTTTATATTCCGTAGAAACCACACAATCAAGTCAAGTAGAAGATGGAATAAGTAATATCAGAATTCAAGGAAAAAAATCATCCTCATCAGAAAAGTTTCTACTAATTCTTGCAATGTGGAACAACATTATTTTCTGCTAATACGACCAAATCAATCTTAAACAGGAAACAATTATCAACAATAAGTCACGAAAAATAATGAACTTATGCTTGCAATCTCATGCCCATAATATAGTTTTGAAAAAAACAAAATATATATATATACACACACACTCACACACGCGGAAATAATCTTCTAAGCACCGGTAACATGACGCACCATTTGCTTAGGAGATTATTTCTGCAGATATGTTTTGCTCTTCCACTGGTCGTCCAGTTTGTTGGTGCAGCACAATCTTGCAGTTGGCACCAAAAACATCAGTTTAAGATTGGCTAAAATGGAATGTTCCGTTAGAAATTCAGAAAAAAAGAAAAAGAAAATCCGATTGATGCCTCACACTCATCAT